TACTACTACTACACTAACTATATACACAATACTATATATATATATATATATATATATATATATATATATATATATATATATATATATATATATATACAGAATATTTCAATTTGGCCGTAGACATATCTGATAGTATTTATACTAAGCCATTCGTGTACACAATTCAAAGCAAAGGCTCATGCCTACGCTCAGCACACCTAGCACACACTCTTACATGTACCGACCGTACTCCTATCTGCCTCCGACTACAAAGGTGGATATTGACACATCCAACGATGTGCGATTGCTTCTGCTGGAAGAGATGTTGATACCGAGCACGCAGGACTCAATCACCAACCATGTGGAGGTTATAGGCCTCATCGGACACGTGCTAGATAGCAACACCGGCGTAGGGGCTAGTAAGGTCACCGAGCTGCTCAAGAGCACCATTGACCAGGGCTTGAAGGACGACGCCGGCGGCGACGATTCAGCGGTACGTCGATACTTTTGGAAGTACCAGCACATGTCCACGCGTCGTGTGATGAGGCTTTATTATATCTTCCTGCATCTGCTGATGTGTGTTTGGGTTGGTGGTATGGCACCATAGTGCTTGTTGTGCTTGTCCTGCTTCACTGCCGTATGCTTGTCGAGGGGTGTGTGTCCATGCGTCGTGTGATGAGGCTTTATCATATCTTCCTGCATCTGCTGATGTGTGTTTGGGTTGGTGGTAAGGCACCATAGAGCTTGTAGTGCTTGTCCTGTTTCACTGCCGTATGCTTGTCGAGCGTCGTGTGATGAGGCTCTATTATATCTTCCTGCATCTGCTGATGTGTGTTTGGGTTGATGGTAACGCACCATAGAGCTTGTTGTGCTTGTCCTGCTTCACTGCCGTATGCTTGTTGAGGGGTGTACGTCTAAATTTCTAGTGCACTATAGCCCAGTCAGTGGCTATGTAAAAAAATATCAGTTTTCACCATCTGAAATTCGAGAAGCGGACATTCACTTGTTGGCGTACTACTTACAACAGTACAGTCTCTTATGTATCTATAGAACGCGGTCGACGATAAACCGATAGGCGGGGGTTGTGTTCTGTATATTGCTCGTGTCAATCCATTGATCTGAGACGTTCTCACACCCTTTGTGATTCACCTTCCTATACATTACAGCGCCTGGTAAAAGAATATCAGAATCTGGTGCACAAACTATCCGCTTTAGAAGTGTCCACCTCACAGCTTGCCTTCGCTACCCAATACATCAAAAGTATGTGGCAGTATATATCGGTGTAAGTTGTGTATGTCTGACAAACATAAGTATCAATATTTATGCCAAGTTGTATAGGTCGCTCGTTAACGACGGGTGACAAAAGATACATCCGTACGTATCAGTACTATATGATGTGCAAGGGTGTGTGGATGTATTCCGCTCCCATCGTTCAGGTTTATTGGTGTGAATCGACAAATTCTAACAAAAACATCCGAGATGGTCTGCACTTTTTGTGCTCCGTTAGATATGTGTAGGGTTTATAGGGTTGTGCTACATTATGTGGGCAGAATAAATGCTTGGTGCTTAGGCCTGTCTATTCACTCGTCGATAGGGTTCGTCGTATGGCTTTGGCGTGTGAGAAGTGTACTCTACACCTAGATTTGTCCCCGTAAATACAACGTATCTTCATGTCTATTGTATGTATCCGTATACTGTACAAATATTATTTTCTTCAGAAAGTTTAGCATTCCTGCTGATGTCTTATCATCTTCCTTGCCTATCCGATCCGAGTGCAATTTGGATTTGAATCAATTCTATGCCGGGCGTACTACTTACACAATTAATTCACCCGTCTTATCCCTCTCCGCCTGTGTAGTGGTCGAAGAACTGGCCAGCAAGTCAGAGGACGAGAGTGAAGAAGAAGGTATGCGCTGTCGCAGTTATTTCTTCACATGCCTGCACGTGTATTGCACTGTAATCTGTATTCTACTCTAAGCTTGGTCTTAACCCATGGCACGGCTGGGACTACGGGTGTAGTTTACAGCAAACCCTGATTGAACACTGATTTACAAAAGAAACTAGCTGATTATCTACATTGCCTTCCCTTTTATTCCAATCAACCGCTGAAGACGAAGAAGAGGAGGAGCTGGTGGTTGAGTAAACAAGCCCTGGTACACTGTCGATAACCGTTGCGAAGCGAGTTAACGGGGATATGGATAGTCCGCACTATTGCATAGCCCAGTCTATTATAGCCAGGTCCCAATCAATTCTCTGTCTCGGCCGCATGCTCTCCACTTTGGTGTGGTGCCACACACCGAGGTCGACGCATGCACAAACAGCAAGACTGGCCATAGATCTCTGTACATGAATCTGCGAGCTCGACTGAGGCTTGCCCTGAGCCTGGTTGGCGTTAACTGAACCCTTTCGGGCGCATTAACAATTGGGAATTCTTTCTGATTCTTTGAACTGGGTGTCCCAGTTTCTGTTCCGCTGTTGAGGTTTTGCAGGTCTCTTAATCGGGATACTGAGTGTCCTGCATCGGATTTCGGGAGTCAAGTGCTGACGAGAACTATGTCATGCGCAGCGCACACGCAGACCAGAGACCCCTCTATGAGACCCCTCTGTTGCGTATGATTGCGCTTATCAACAGTTCGTAGGAGGGCCGCCTCGAACACCTGGGTGGTGTGCGAGCTAAGTGGATCACATCGTGTTCACGTCTATTGCATCGTGGTCATACAAGTATCTATACACGTTGGGTGTGTACTGTGAACCTACACGAGGTGTACAGGTTTTTGCTGGGGAAACCATTTACGCCATCAATTCATTCTGCGAAGTAAAGTGCACAACCAAAGCAGTAGTGGTGAGGCCCATGGTGCAGCTCGACATAGTCTCGCAACATATAGGCCAATTGCACGTGTTCTTAATGGCAAACCCGCTCGGTGCTGTTCACATAACATTGGGCGCAGGCGGTGTGAGAGCACGTCATGTACGCCTGAGGGATCATTGATTCGCCATATGGGTGTGCTTGGGAGGCTTGCGTAAGCAACCCGTCAAGTGATTGTAGCTGCCACCAAGTGCTATGTGAGAGAGAAAGGTGATGCGTGGACTCAGTTATCTGCGTGCTAAGAGTATTTTCAGTAAACGGCTGGAGCTACATATTCCTATAGTTCAGCAGCACGTGGTTTCCAGAGTAGAGTCTCGTGAGCATGAATGGCTGTGGTGCGAGAACTATCAGAACAATTCTCCGTGACCTTCGCTGTTGCGTTGGTCGTGCTATTCTTAACTATCGCGCCCGCAAACCCGAAGCATCCTACTAAACTGCATTTGGCTGCTGGTGCGTACTCTTCAGTGTGGGGCTCGCCATCAACGAGATCAGTGATATTATGCCATACAGCGAAGTTCAGTCTTAAGCCTGTAGCTCAACACAAATACGAATGAGGTGTAGCGCAAACGATACACGTAAGTGTAATTAAAGGGTCAAATCACCCATAGATCAATATTGATTGTTACATCAATCATATAATATTACTTTATCAAAGAGCCGGCAAGTACTCCTACACTAGTAGAGGGAAGAGTTTCCACAGCCTGTCTCTTTATTTGTAGTCTCAGCGTAGCCCTAGATACCTTTAATACCCACGTACGCAGACTGTGTTTTCAAATGTATTATGTTCTCTGGATATCTTGGCAGAGTGCAACCTACAACTGCCACTAAGTGGACTGCACGCTTGGCTCAATGTTACCGGACACTTCCGGTTTAACGAACTTGAGTACAAAGCATCGTCGAGATTTGACATGCAGGCCTATCCTTTTACTTCATCGCCCCTCCTGTGTCAACTGCTGGATAGATACCCCATTCGTCTACCAATCATGATCTAGGAAAATACCCCCTGCTGCGTATGACATCATGGGCTCGAGAAAAAAGCATCCACTGACAATCAAAGTCTACATTCGCTTCGCTAGGTGCTGCCTACAATTCTTCTAGTTCGGGTTCTGCTGGGCAAAGGATCAGCCAACATGGGTGCTACGAGATCCACATTCTTCTTTGTACATTACTGTTTCGTTCCGACTCGATGATATATGTGAGTGCCGAATCAAACACACCCGTTATGTGTGCCCTAGTCGATCTCTAGTATACGTACCGGGTTCTGCAAACAGACTCGACTTTCCCAGCCTATCTCTGTCAACGGGATCAACCTGTAGCCAACATATAAGCGTCACCTACATCGGCCCAAACATACCCAGGTATCAAACTACTAAACACTGTTCACTTACAACGGACTACAACGTTTAAAAACCATTTAGGCCGCATGAAATAGCCGAAGCGGCAGTGTACGTGTCCGCTGTCAAAATGGGGCGGGCGGAATCGCAATCGAGTTATTTGATTGCGGCACGTGGACCGCTTCATCCACTGACACTACTAACTGAACTTCAAGTGACTATAGCTTCCCTTGTCTCGGTCTCCAGACTATCAGCCACCCCTGCAACCCCCTCAGTCGAGCTGTCGGCTTCAGGTCCTTTTCCGTCTATCCTTGTCTCGCCATTCATACCTTGTACCCCTTCAGACAGAGCCTTGCTCCCCACCACTGCCCCGTCATTCGCATCGGGTCGCAGAACAACTCGCAGAGCCTCCTGTGCAAAGTGCCACGCTCTGACATGCCATGGCCCGTCTTGTAGCCTAACCTCTTGCTCAATACTCTCAGGTTCTGGACGTGGGTACGAGGGATATGAACTATCCGCCTCATCAGGCGGTAGCGGGTATATGGATGCGTCATCGATGCTCTGCGATCCCTGACGATTTGGCTCTGAGTGGCCAGTACTTTCGACCGATGTGTGTGATGGATTGTCCGCTAGATCTTTTTTTTTGGCGCCAGCCAATCAAACCACTGAGTTGCCGACTCCTCTGATGTCATGGAAATCAGGCACTCACTACTAGTCTCAGTATCGCTCTCGAGGTCAGCCCCCGCGCCCGCAGCCAGCCCTGGGTGCATCATGGCATCCTCCGCCTCTAACTCTGTAGCAGGCACAGCTCTATTGGGTGGATACGGTGTGCTATCGCCTACATCGCCCCTGTAGTATTGTATGATATCACTCGCCAGACTATTCAACGGTGCAAAGATGCTATCGCCGGTCGGTTGAGGCTTGCTGATCTGTGCAATTGTTGTCGATGTCGCGGGTGACTCACGCCTCACTTGTACCTTGGACATAAGCCAATTAGCCCAGCCTTCAACTTGCGCCTGAGCAGGTGCGGATGATGTTATCTCATTCGCTGGTGCTTCTATCTCGTTCCCTATCGCTTCGGCTGTGCCCATCACGATCGGTTCAGCGTGTGTGGCTACCTCGTCGTCGCCATTACCCGGCAGCACAGCGGTCGCATGCTCTGTGGTGTCGTCTCGCAGCAAAGTAGTATTTTTCTGGTGCTCTGCTCTCTCCTCCCCGGTCTTTGTAAACCAGCCAGATAGCCACTTAGACCATGACCCCGCCGGGCTTCTCTCTGTCGGCTGTCGTGCGCCCTGTGTATCTGAATCAGCCCCATCTGCCGAGTGAGTCTGAGTTTGAGAACTGATCGCCAATTTGTCCTCTTCGTCTCGATTGGGCATCGCATTAGACTGCTGTGTGGCCGTATCACCGACTGCTGACACAAGCTGTGCTGGGAGTTCCCTTTCGCCTCGTGCAAGGGTTTCTAGCTTATCCAGTCGCTCTTTCAGCTCCTGGATCGACTCTTGTAGTGCGCGGGCGGCCTCATGATCCATCTACGTGCGAAAGAAGAAGAAGAAAATCATTGCAGGCAAGCATCGAACAGACGACACCATAGGTAAAGTGCTTTGGCTATTTACCAATCAATGTGTGTTCGTAGAAGAAACGACGGAATACACTCGCCTTGCCGCTAATCTTTGTACGACTAGCGCAATATCAATAAACATCCCCGTGTGTGCGAACCATCGGGCTCCACCACAACTCTTGAACTTCCGGCAAATAAAGTACTGTCAATGCCATCGTCAACGACATGCGGCCAGACTACAAACACGATGGCCCAATTAGTGCAGAGATTTCGTACGTGCGCACCATGTCAACAACAGCTGCTGCCCAGTGGTAAGGTGAGATCTTCTGTTTTATGCATTATCTTACGAACTGTTCATAAATTTGAATTATTTAACAGGTGCGAAAAGAAGCCGTTTCTACCGCTGAACATACCCCGTCAGGTCGCTCCGCCCCCGCTGTGGCACCCTGACCCGCCATGGAATGATCCCATTTGCTCATTCGCTCGTCGAAAATCTTCTCGGTTCGAAGACGTTCATCCTATGAACATAGTGTAAGGAGTGGTGATACAAGTTTAGTAGTAGGTACGACGAACAATAAATCAAATGCCTGTACAGAATTCACGAATGTGCCGCACGTGTTTATCAGCGAGTCAGTGGTGATCTGGTAGAGCCCAGTGCAATTACCAACGCCAGTACCTACACACACATAAGTGTGTAGCTAGCGCGACCGACCAAGACTTGTACCGCCACATGACAAGAGTACGCGAACAAGATAGTTCATCACTCTCATGCGGGACCATAATGCTCTAAGGTGGATGATAAGCGAGGCTCAGAGTGATCTTGCAATCGTGATCACGTGAGTTGGGCTTCTAAGGGCAAAGTTACACATCAGCGCACATATATCAAGTCTGACTCACCTCCTCAGTGTGCACCACTTCATGCTGTCTCTGGTGCTCTATCTTCACATGCCTTCGATGAAGAACACCCCAGACGATAAAGGCTGGTATCAAAGCTATAGCTAGTTGCTTAATATGCCTGTACATTACAGAAGTGGGCGAATGCTTAGGGTGCTTTTTCAGTTCGGAACAAATGAATTTGGATGAGCGCTCGCATACATGCACAGTACGCCAGAATTAGATAAATTTGGATAGCCAGCTTAACGGTGTGGGACTGACTATCCACTGAGTTAAGGTAGTGGTTTAGAATGTGAAACTGATATCACTTCATGATCTCAATATATCGATTATCTCAAGAACATGTCAAGCTGGAAATATGATATCGAAATCTTGCTGAAAATATAGGTCAACGGCTAATTCGAAGAGAATCGGCAACACAGAAAGTCTATTTATAAACTGCTCGTTATTCCAGAAAAAAACCCCCTTCTGACTCTGCATATACTTGTTTTGTACTTATCATATATATGTATATATATATATATTATATATGTATATATATATTAATATATACATATATATATCGATTCGCTTGCACTACAGCGTCACAACATCCACAAATAAACATTGGCACACAAGAGTGCATGGCCCAGTCCTTTTTAGACAGGAATGCTAACTGATACATCACCACAATCACACGCAGGTGAAATAGAGATAGGAACGAGAAGTCAAGTTATCTGCTAGAGATTTGCGGGGCCATGTTCGATTGCAACGCAGGCCACCACAACAAGTCATTTAACTTACCACAGCGTCGGTAATTTTCTTTGTGGTTCATCGGTAGAATCGCCAGAGAATAGATTGCGCATGGCATTGAGCACGCTTATTTTGCCATCCTTGTCAATCAAGGCTTCCTCGTTGTTGGCACCCACTAATTTCTCACCTGTCGATTGGATTCCATTGCCTCCATCGCCCCCAGACATTGGTTTCGTTCCCGAAGATCTGATAGTACCAGCATCAGCGACCCCACTGCCCTTGGTTTGCTCGCCCACGAACAGCCTCTCGCCCGTCCCCATTTGTGAACCGAACTTTTCTGATGAGATCATTTCGGGGGATTGCTTGCTAGTGTTGGAGAGTCTGCTATCAACACTATTACCAACCTCGTTCGCTCGTGTTGGATCTGTACTGCCGGTCATCCTCTCGCCGCTTTGAGGTTTCGCCGCATGAGAGACTTGCGACTCGTGTGGGGGACCAGTTTGTGCGGTCACCTCATTCTTAGGCATCGGGCCTGCATTGCCCGCACTTTGAGTGGGGGGTGCTGTATCATTACCGGCTGATTCTCGGCCGAGTACTGACTTCGGTTCTACAGGTGAGCCCCTACTGCTTTCAGGGCCATGAGCCTCGACCTGACCTACTGCTGGTTTAGTACCCGCCGCCGGCGTTGTCGACTGTGTTGCTTTAGTACTGCCACTCTGTGCAGGTATCTCGCTGCTTGTTGGCGTATGCAATTCAGCCGGCTTGGTAGTTGTCGACTCTTGGTGAGTGAGTTGTGCTGGAGACGTTCCCGTACCTGTCTGTGATGAGTTCATATCGGACTCGGGTGCAAGTTGCGTATTCCCGGCAGCTGACACCGGTTTAGATGTAGATGCGGACGAAGCTGTTGTCTGATTTGCGGTTGTACTTGTTGGTTTAGGAGTGTATGTGTAGGTAGCTGAAGTGGTCCCTACATCGCGCTTTGAAGCAACGTCTGCAAGGGTTGACATCGAGTCGCCTTGAGTTTGTATATTTTCGATGGTCTGAGACAGAGGCGCTGTCTTTGGCTTTGGTGCGGGTATCGTTGCGGCTGTGCTTGTGATCGGCATTGTCGCTACGGTTGTAGAGGTAGTCGTATTGTCGGGCGTGTGCTTGAGTTGTGTAGCTGTTGGTGTGTGTTGTGCAGCAACCGCTACTGGCGGTGTGCCAGATGTTGGGTTTGAGGTCGTGCTGGCCACCTCTGCATCTTTGACCATACCTTTCTGTGAAATTGTCAATTGTGGTGGTCTACTTGCACTTGTTGTCGAGTCCCCAAGTAGGTCACTTGATACAGTCTTGGGTGTATTCTCATTCCCCTTCACCGCCCCACCCTCAGTTTTAAGCGCAGCAGCAGCCTTTGCATCCCCGCAAGTTACTTTCTGCGAACCTGTAGTGCTTAGCTTATCAAAATCATTTGTCCTCGAAACGCTGTCAGGTTTACCTTTTACACTTTTTGGCACCGAGCTGAGATACCCAGCTGCGGGTGTATTCTTGCCGTTATTACCACCCGCGCCGTCGCCTGCAGTCACGAAGGAGCGGAAAGTGGTCCTACGCCCTAGCATATATGACTTGTGCATTCGAGACATATTTACACTGCCTGTGTGAAATAAATTAGTGCATGACAGACCAGCCCTTCCATGAGAAAGGGAATACATTCGCAAATGAGTGCATTGTAGAGTATAGCTTGAAGCCAGGCACGATGACCGCTGTCGCCACATAAGGGCACTCCCTGCGTACAACGAATTCATCGCACCACTGAACATCCCGGACTACTTTACAGTGAGAAGAGTATTGCGGATAGGTGTGCGTTTAAAATCACATGTGCTTGTTCTTGTTGTTGGGTGCCAGACTTTAATCACCACGTTGAGGCGTTCAGCACGTATGTACCATACAAAATATATATAGTCGTGCTTGTCAAAATGCCAATATATATATAAATACATAATGTCTATCAAGAAGGCTATGAATAAAAACAAAACAATAGCCCTGTGTACATAAACAAGCTTCATGTAAATACTTATACCTAAAATTGGGTTTAGGGTTTTCTAGTGTCCAGGGTTTGACATAATTGGGGCTAAGGCACGATGATGATGACTGATGACGCTCTGTAGAGACAGGGAATTAAAATTGTATAGCCGCGCGCCCGGGGGGACAATTTTTTTCTCAGTCCCGTTATCCAGAGGATTATGGCTATGGTAATGGAGGTGGTTTGTAGAAAGCTTGATAACTAGACAACGCTACATATACTGCGGTAATATAATCGTGATTTGTAATACATACGCCATCGCACAGCTTAATTGGAGTTATGTTGGCGAAAGAAAATTGATTTGCCTTTGTGATGTTTCTGGGTGACTATCTACACGCCGATAAATCCCATCCCCAAACACCGCGATGTTTAGAAACATATTTTCTTTTATAAGATCGCTGTATCTATCAAACTACTTTTGAGTGCATCTAGAATAAGAAGAATCGTTCTTTAAAAGATCTGATGGAAGTGACTTTCCGGGTTGTGACAATAAACTTGAGTGATTCGACAGAAGTTTAAATTCTGCTGAGAACCGCTGGCACTTGATTTTTAGATTGCCTAGAATGAATTGTACATAGCAATCAATCTAAACTATTAAAGCGTGAAGTCAAAGGCAACACCCAAAATAGTACGAGTGTTCGAATTTGAAATTGGCAAGTTTGTTTTGCATGTGATGTTTCGAATTTGAAATGTATTTATTAAACCCTGGCATCCAAATACCGACTGCGCGATGAATGTGACCAATAGAACAATGATCTGCATGGGGAATTGAGAAATCATGAGCGATTTTATTATGCAAAGACATTAACGACGATATCATATATATAACTCAATCCTAGATACATATTTCGTCCAAATGTTCATTAAATAGCACATCCGACACTTCACATCATTTTTTTATAAGCCAACGCCTAAAAAACTGTAGCAAGATATCACTCGGCAGATAACAGCAGTACTTTTCAAATGTACCACTGTCTGTGAATGTGTACCTGGATTGACAATAATTACAGATACAGCTACAACTGGCACTTTAGACATACAAATGAGTCTGTGTACTAGTATTGGACAAGAGAATAGCAGTGAACGATGAGGTAATAATTCGTGATACTTACGATAAACTTGTACGATGTTGTCTCGCTTCTTGATGTCAAATTTAGAAGGCTATGGCTTGAGTCGATGATAGAAACGTATTAATCAAATATATAAGTCTGTGTGTACATGAATATAAACAGGGGAGCCGTCATCTATCTGTGGCATTTTTTTGATACCATAGCAACAAGATGTGTAATCAGCTTTTTTAATTTTAATTCCGGGCTGATACTTGATACTCTGCTTGTCGCTGATATAAAAATATACGTTCTGTATCGAAAGGAGACTATAATAGAAAACGATAAAGTGGGCTATACACACGCGTGTGTCTTGTTTATGATCTGACGCCCTGGTTCTCTATGTCAGCCCTACTCTAATTTACCCTACTGACGTTTCTAGTTTTTACATTCGAAAGTTGTAGTTAGTTGAACTCACATAGTAAACACTAGCTCGAAAATTTATATAGCCATCACTATGAAGCACCTATTACGGAAAGAGACCTTTGGCGGTCTATTTGTCACCGTCGTTCTCGTATTGGGTATCGTAGGTCGATATAGTGGAAGCACAGCATCTGGTATGTACTTTAAATGTTGGACTAAAATTTTATTTTTCAGTAGTGGACACATGTTTGCACATAGATTTGAATTTCTGGTTAATTATAAACCTGTCAGTATGAAGGTCATATCATACTTGTGCTTTGTTTTGAGCTCCTGGATTTATACGTATCGTTTGTTTCAAGAGCCTTGCCGTTTGCGTACAGCAAAAATACCTTAGTGTCGAAAACCGATTTCCCAGGGAACAACTATGCTAATTTACCATACATAGTTCGTCAATTCTATACATGTATATGTATATAAGTGTATCTGTATGTATGTATACACACACACACATACACACACA